GGTGCTTTGAGAGGAAAGCCGGTTCACACAGCTTAAAGGGATTGGTAACCTGATCCTGGCTTGAATTTCACGGGGTGGGGGGGTAGGGGGGAGGGGGAGAATGCTAGAATGACGTGGTTTGCTGCATTCTGACCTCACCCCGCCCTCAAAGAAGGTTTATGCAATTCCTTTTCCCATCCCGGGAGGGGCTTAGATCAGCACTTGGAAAAAGACGTGGGAATAAAGGGCGAAATCCCCCTGACTCGGTCTGTTTTGCCTCTGGTCACCTTGTGGGTCTTTGCAAGCTTGGAGGGGGACTCAGGATCAGATACCTAACGTCACTGCACCTGAATTCTTTTTCCTTCCGTAAAGGGAATAAAAATAATCCTCCTCCTTCACAGGGTTGTGAGGATTAACTGAGCTAATTCATGTGCAAATACTTAGAACAGTTCCTGGCGAGTATCAAATACTCGATAAATGTTTTCTCTCCCTTTTATTAGCTTTGGAGATGGTAGCACCCCCCCCACCCCCGCTGTTCTGAAACCATTTCCCATCTGAGCGCTGGCCAGAGGAGGAGCCTGTGGCTAAGGCTTCAAGAGGAGGCAAACATTCCTCAAGCCCTGGTTTCTCCGCTGCAAACACTTGAGGAGGCTCTTCAGCCTTCTCTTTAGCAACTCACCTGTCTTCCCCTAACCTTGTGTTTAAAATCTTGGAGTTGAGAGGGAAAATTCATGCTTGGCGGTGGCAAGGGGTGGGGGTGGGGGGGCGTGGACTATGCACCCCTAAGGTAAATGTTCCCAGTGAGGCAGCTCCGTCATTTTTCTGATGCGTTTCGAGCTGCGATGAGCCCGTGAGATGACCTCACTGCCACTGATGCCAGGGCCCAAGTCACTGACCAGAAAGAATGAAACAGATGCTGAAAACTGTCTCCTGTGTCAGTCTTCTTGCCTACCGCAGGTGGGTGGGTGGGGGCTTTATAATTGTTGCTTTGACTCTGGCCCTGTGCAGCTCCTCCTCTGCTCCCCCAGTGGTGTCCTGCTACCCTCCAAGTTCTGCTGGAGCAGGCCCAGCAAGCCTTGCTCTGGAGGCTTTGGTCCCCTCTGGAAGAAGCGGGTGGGAGGGGCAGGCTGGTGGCTGGAGGAGAGAAGGGATGCGGGTGTGCTAGGGAGCAGGTGATGCTGAGATGGTGAAGTGGCATGGGAGACGGAGTGTTTAAATGTTAAGGGCTGGGTAGAAAATGTACCAAGATATTTTGAGGGCTAAATTTGTTCTGGAAGTTAAATGCATAGATTGCGATGAATCAGAACAAGAGCCACTTAAGATTGTTGAAGCCGCTGGGTTGCCCGGGTGATGTACACACGTTATTGTGGACGGTTTGTTATTAGCAGCCAACATTGACACAGCCCTTCACCTCCTCAAACACAGGTCCACAGAGCCCTGGAGTGTTGGCAACAGCTAGGAGACCAAGACACAAAAGAGGATTTGCTCAAGGCCGCAAGCACAGTTTGAGGCAGAGCTGACAGGATCCGGGTCCACTTGGATGGTGTGCTTAGCTGCAGGGGATCTGTACTTTGCCTGCTTAATTGGCCTCTCATTACCCAGAAAACAGAAGGCTGGTTGACTGTGTCTTTCAGGCTAGGAATAGAAGGGTGAGGGGAAGAAGGGTCCTCACTGACCAGGCAGGAGGGGGTCCCAGAGGCCTGTGTGTTGAAGGTGTTGTGATGCTCGCATGTCTGTCACAGCAACAGAAGGCTGACAAACAGCTTCTAAAGCCATCCTGAGCATCAGCCGTGTAAGCCTGTCTTGCAGTGTGCTATTGCTATGTTCTGCAGAATGTGACTGCTGACCAGGAATGCTTCTTTCTTGTCGGCTACCATCCTGCGTCTCCCGGGTGCCTAAGGATTTCCACCTGTTTACTGTTCGGGTTCTCTCTCTGCTCCTACCACTGTCTGACCACCGCAGCTAACCCTTAGCCTCTCCGCCCCCTCTCCATTCTCTCCCATCCATCTGGCCACTTTGGAAATTCAGATCAGCTCCTCCCTTCACTGAAGACCCTTCCACGCCTCTTGCGGGTTGCAGTTCAAATGGAGTCCAAACAATCTCAGCAGTCCACACTCCTCAGGCCCTTCCATGGGCTCACGCTGCGCCAGGCAGCCAAAGTGAAGTCCTTTGGCCTCACCAGGCTTGGACAACTGGGCCAGAGGGAGCAAGAGGAAGACAGCAGACGTGAGAAAAGAGAAGAGAGCAAACTCCGAGGCCGCCTATGCTGCATGGCTTGTCCTGCTGTGGGCACACCGTCCCTTCATATGGGCCATCCACAGCACTGTCACCGGGGAAGCAGATAATCTCCATAAAAGCTAAACCCAACTTTAAAACTAAACCCACTCTCACTTGACAAAGATGTCCTGATTCTCCGGGTGAAGCTTCTTCCTGGCTGTGGGATACTGCCCACGTCACTGAAGATCTGAGGCTATGCCTCTTCACTTTTCTCATTGTTCCGCACTGACCTCTGTGTGGGAGAACTTCTGTTTGTTTTGGTTGCCTAACATTTGGGTATCCTTCCTATGATGGGGTCTCCACTGTAGGAGCTGGTGGCGGCTGTGGCGGCGGGCATCTGTTGGTGGTCGTGGTGGGTGGGCGGCGAGGTCAGGAAGCCAGCAAAGGCCCCTGGTGGCCCTGGGGTGATGAGTCAGCTGTCTGTGTGAGATTGGGGTTGGACAGTTTTAGATCTGAGGACGGCAGAGGCAGCAGCGGTGTGGAAAATGACACAGCTGGTGCTCACCGTGAATTCCAGGGCAGGATCTCCCCATAGAATAAATGTGTTTTTATTCTCGCTGTGATTTGGATCTCGAGACAGGGTCTCACTCTGTAGTACAGGCTGGATCTAAACTTGTAAACCTCCTGTCATAGTCTGTCTAGTGTTGGGATTACAGGTGAATGCTGCCACTCCTGGCTCAAACTCGGTTTCCTTCCTCTATGTGTCTGGTCAATCCTGGGAGACACCACATTTCCTCCTCAGAATTCCATTTGTAAGTTGGCCAGAGTCAGATTCTGTGACTAGACCCAAGAGCCTTGGCCCAAATGTTCATGGCTTTATTTGGTGTCAGGATGGGAGAGGATCTGTAGGTGTGGGTACCACAGTGAGGTGTGGGCCCAAACCCTTGGAGCTCGCCCATAGCATCTACTGCACATGTAGAGAAACAAAAATCTGAAATTACAGTGGCCCAAGTGAGCAAGCTGCCGACTCTATCAAAGCCAGGCGAGGTGCTCCACACTTCTGACTCAGCCTCGGGCCCAGCACTTGGGAGGTAAAGTAGGAAGGTATCTGTGAGTTGAAGACCAACCTGGGTCACAGAGCTAGATTCTGTTTCCCCAAACCCAGAAGAAAGCCAAATAAAATGAGCCCATATCCCACCCCAGGTGTTCCACTGTGGGGCCGAGAAACTGTGAAGGCTTTGTATGAAGGACAAGGAAAATGTAAGGCACCCTCCTTATCTTCCCAGTAGAGAGCCCGCCAACTCCTCCTCCTCCATGTCTTAAATTTAGCTTAAGAACACGCTTGGTTAAACCAAAACGGGGAAAGGCACATGTCCATTTCAGTAGACTGCTGGCAGAGGCTTCACATTCATTTCTTGCAGTGGGGCAGGCAGGACCCGTGTCTCTGCAGCCACCTTTATCTTGTGGCCCAGAAGGACAAGACACTCATCTGTCTCACACGGAAGCATGGGTTCTGTAGGGCCAGCTCCCCAGCCCTGTTCAGCCTATGCGTCCTGCTTGGAAGCTGGCTGGACACTTCCTCCAGATGCCCAGCACTGAGAACAAGCACGGGGCCGGCAAGAGACTGCTGTGGGTTTGGCTGTCATCAGTGGAGAGGCCTTTCCCATGGTCCAAGCACTGCGTCTGACACCTCTGATAGCTTCCAGGCCCAAGAGTCAGCAGTGCATCCCTGAGGACAAAAGGACCTTGGGGCTCCCACACTGGTACCCAGTGAAGAGTGGGGAAACTCTTCAGACACAGTGTTTAATTCAAACCTCCAAACCAAAAACTATGGTGATGGGAGACGGCTCAGAGAGTAGAGCACTCGTATGTAAGCATGGTCTCGAGTCCAAACTCAGCACCCGCAGAAAAGCTGGCTGTGGCCTCACGTTTCAGTAACTGCGGGAGACAGTCCTTAAGGGAATAAGGCAGAAATGATGGGGCAGGACATTCAATGTCCCCCTCAGGCTCCTATGTGTACACAGCTATGTGCATCTGTGTACACATGCTTCTCATGCAGACATCACAGATAGAGACCACACACACACACACACACACACACGGATATTACACATGCACACTAACACAAACTATAAAAAAAATTGTTGACTTACAGAAAAGCAGAGCCATTAACTTCATGAAGAACTAAGCTGAGTAACCAGGGACCAAGGTCAATGCCACCCCCATGATCGGGCATGTGGAAGGTGTCTATGTGGAAAATGTCACTGAGCTGTAGCCTAGGAAGTGGCTTCCTTCTCTTGAGGGGTGGCAGGGGTGGAGAGTTAGAGGAGGTTTGAGTTGGGGCACTGTCTGCACAGGCATACCTGGAGCTGGGGTGGAGCTGTCCTCCTTAAGCTGTGTGGGCCTTGGTCCCCTCATCTGGAAATAAGAGTTCATCTCTAATTCTAGTGTTGATTTCTCCAAAGCCTCTGGAGTGCCAGACTGCAGTTCTGGGCATGGCCTCAGGTGCTTTCTCCATCAGTCCCCACAACAGTCTTGAGGTCCCCAGCAGGTCCCGAGAGAAATGCCTCAGTGCCTTTGGATTTATTGGGTAATAAAGAGGTATCGGAGCAGCAGCTACCTGGCCATTAACTGGCTACCTGCTGCTGTCTCAGGCCCAGCTGATGAGAAGCTCGGGATAGTCAGATCGCCTGTGAGTCCCTGGTCTGAGGCCATCAGAGTGCAAGGCAGTTCAGGACGGTCGCAAAGAAGGAAAGGGAACAAAAGAAGAAAAAACAAGACCAGAATCAAATTCCTAGAAACCATCCCGGAAATGCTCTGTTTTAATGATGTAAGTTTATCTGGTTCTGTACATCCCGCCACTGAAGGTAAAGGTGGCGTGAAAGGTCATTGATTTTCTTCCAGGCAGAAAGCTAAACAGCTAAAGAGCCTGTTGTTAGGTCCAGACAGCCTGGGACAGCCATATTTGCCTCATAGAAGGTAGTTCAGCTAAAACACCAATCTGTTCAAACCACTTAGGAGCCTTCATCTTTATCACCTTGGGAAAAAGGGAAAGAAAAAAAAATCATTATGTTGCCTAATTAACGCCTATGAGTGAATCAGACTACAGGCTTGTGGGCAGGAACACACCTAGTGATGTCTGCTGCTTCTTCCATCTCTGCCTTTCCTCCCCCAGCCTGGCAGATACTGGTACCCACAGTACTCTGTCTCAGTGGGGGTGATGTGCAGGGACTATCTGCCCGCATTTCTGTAGACATCTCCTCGCACCTATGCCAGGAAACCCTTCCTTGCAGAGAGCAGACATGTGACCCCTTTTATCTCATGGGAGACTCCTCTCTGAACTGACACCTCCAAATATCTCAAGCCTCTGAAATCACCATCACCCTGACTCTTCTCATGGGAATGTCCCACTGGACACAGACAGAGCTGGGCAGTGTGGCCTCTGAGTGACCCACAGAACCATGCCTGAATCTCTATTTTCATGTCTAGACTCTTACCAAGGCCCTGGCACTAGAGTTACCACCGGTTTTTCTGCCATACCCCCTAACCGTAGGGTTACTGTGGTAATCACGTGGCCTAATGTGTTGAAAAGAGCATGGATTTGGGGGTGCTACAGGAAAGAGCTTCTGCATGCACAACATGGGGGCGTGGCCATTTAGTTGTGTATCTCCAGCAGAGATACCTTTTCTATGTTTTAACCCCAGGTCTACAAAATGGAGAAAATACTGATTACACACTACTTAAGATGCTATAGATCTAACTCAGTGGCAGAGCACTTACCTTGAGAGCTCGTAGATCCTCAATACCCTTGGCCAAACAGTGGGCCTCTTTTGTTAGGAAAGGTTGTCCTCTTCCATCGAGTGCCGCTTGAAAGAGGAACATACAAACAGCGGGAGAGGAAGGGGACACCTGCTTAGTTCGGCAAATCAGTCACATTAATCCTGATGATCGGCAGGGTGACAGCTATAACAGTTAAACAGCCCTTATCACGCCCTGATCTCCTAGAGTACTTGTCTAGCACACAAGGCCCTGAGTTCTATTCCCTAGTACAGCAAGAAACAAAGCAAGCCACCTCTTGGAGTTTTCTGGCAGTGATTAGGTGCCATAGCATTTCCTCAAGACACCTACTAAGAAGGCATAAGTAGCTAGTCCCAAAACAGTCCATTTCTTTCCTATACCTTTGTCCACCCCTCCCCCTTTTGAACTTGTCAAATAACACAATTTAAAAACTTCTATCTAACCTTCCCCTCTGACACTAAGACGGAACCGTAGCTAGCGCACTTGAGGCAGGTTTTGAACTCCGGAACAGAGCATTAGTTGATTGATTCATTCACTCATTCACCCAATATTTCTCTAGATCACAGCACTGAGAGCTGCTGGGAAAACAGAAAAAGGACAAACTGTTTACATTCTAATTGGGGCGAGCAACCAATATGGTGCCAGAAGCATTGAAGAGAAACAGGGCCCATTTGCTCTAGGGAGACAAGGAACAAGCCCTCACCAGAGGCAGTGGCAACGCAGGGAAGTGTCGAGCTCAGGCTGCCGTCCCAAGGAGAGGACTGCCTGTCATGGATTGATCTGGAAGCCACCGAGTGGGTAGCCTTGTGCAGAAGGGTGCTGTAGCCTGCTGTCTGTGAAAGATCCACTTGTCTGCATTTCAGAGACTGGGCAGGAGCAGGTAAGAGCGGAGGCTGCCAGACCCGCTGGGGAGAGTGCAGCCACTGGTCGTGGGGCTCCTGTCAACTGCAGTGGCAGTGGACTCAAAGGGAGTCAGTGGCCACCTCAGAGGGGGTCAGGTAGGTAATAGATTCAAAGAAAGGTACCCTGTGGAAGATGTCCAGAGGCAGATGTCCAGGGTCACAAAGTTCATATGAAGGAGTGCGGAAGAAATCAGGGCCAAGAGGCCGCACAGGGCAAGGTGGAGTTGGAGACTTGGGGGTTAGTAGGCAGGAGAGGCCTGGAGAGCACGATATCCCCCAGAGAACGAACAGTGTCTGGAGACGCGGCATGGCCCACCACCGTGTACTGGATCACCCTGTGGATCTCAGCTTTGTCTATGAGGAAAGAAAGACCTCCCAAGTAACTTTAGAGAATCCTCATGGGATTCTCTGTATGGAAAAATACATGGAAAGATACTGAGGACAGAGACAGTTCTGTGGGAGGCAATGGAGAGGAGAGACTCCTGCCAGGGAAACATGCTGGCTTTGGGCAGTCAGTGCCGGACAAACACTGCTTGGTAGATGGCTGCCATCATTGTGTAACTCAGACCTTTGGAACAGACCCACTTCTGAGAAGGGAGGCAACCTGGGGCTTTGTCGCCCTGTCCCAGAAAAAGAGCGGCTACTATGCTGCTCAGCCGAATCTGTGTGTCACATGGCCTTTGGTTTTTCCTACGAACTGTCAGACTGCCAGAGACACAGCAGTGAGAAAGTGGGTTCTTCTTCTCCCAGTTTGTCCAAACTTTAGAAGATTCCCTTTCCTCTGCCACTTTCCATTCCCTGATTTCTTTTGGAATACAGGGAAACTGAGGCAGTAGGCTATGACCTCAAGGGTCAGGTTATAACGTGGCTAGAAAGAGAAGTGGAAAAGCTGAGCAAGGCTATTGTAGTGAGAGGGTCTACCTGTATCCACAGGGTTCTCATCGTTAGGACTTGGCAACATCATCCAGCTTGGCAATATCTAGCTCCAAAGGGGGCCTTGATTGGCAGGTTGAAGGAGTCATCTCACTTACAGAAGAAACAGCTAACAAGCTGAGATGCTGGTCCCTGTCTCCCAGGCCACTGAAGATGCCAAGCAAAGCTGCTGGGTTTGGGGGATTCAGAGGATCTGAGTCTGGAGAGGACAGAGACTTCAGGTAGAAAGGATGTAGAGCAGGCACAGAGATGAGCCCAGGCGGAGGGAAGCAGAGACCATAGAGATGAGCCCAGGTGAAGGGAGGTAGAGACCATAGAGATGCCCAGGCGGAGGGAAGCAGGGACCACAGAGATGAGCCCAGGTGGAGGGAGATAGAGACCATAGAGATGCCCAGGCAGAGGGAAGCAGGGACCACAGAGATGAGCCCAGGCGGAGGGAAGCAGGGACCTTCCACATGAGTCAGGACCCTTTCTTGTCCTCCTGCATAGAAAAGTGACTCTGCAAAGAGAGATATACTCCACGCCCTGGATTTAGGTCAGCATCAAGACAGGGCGAAGTGAGCAAACTGAAGCAACGACAAGAGGAACAGGCTGAGTCCTTGTACCAGCTTGGGTTTCCGTGATAAAATACCCTGACAAAAGCAATTTAGAGAAGGAAGAGTCGACCTTGGCTCACAGAAGAAGGGTGTTGCCCATCATGGTGGTGAAGTCAAGGCAGCAGCAGCTAAAGCAGCTGGGCATTGCCTCTGAAGGCAGAAGGAGAGTGGGGGAAGCTTGAGCTCAGCTAGCCTTCCCCTTTCCTCCCTCAGTTAACCTAACCTAGGTAACCTCTGCCCAGGCCTGCGCAGGGCCTAACTAATCTAAATCATGCCTTACAGGTGCCCCTGGAGGCTCTCCCTCAGGCCGTTTCAGAGTCTGCCAGGCTAATAATGGAACACTAACCTGTTACTTTCTTCTATTTTGATTCTTCCCCAAGCCCATGAAAAAGTGATTTGAGGAAGAGAAGCACCTAACTGGGAGAATCCTTGAGAGTGGAGCTCCTACGAGCCAGGACAAAAACACCTCTGAGCCCAGGTTGCCCTGCTGGAGGCTCTGCCCTGAGACAAGGATCTCTTTGCCTTCACCTCCCTGCTGGACACAGTTGTGGAAACCCAGAAGTCCACCTTTGCCTATGGCTGTCACTGGCCACATGACCCATAGGGAAGGAGCTGGCTGTTGAACAGACAGTGTTGGGAAGGACAGCAGCGACCGCAGGGTGCAGATAAGGATTTGAAACAAACGTTGTAGCTTCAAAGAAACACACCAGGATGGGAAGCAGGAAGACCCACCAGCCTAGGCGGAAGTCTCATCACCTGCGTGGAACAGAGGAGTGAATGGCACCAAGAACACTTTGAAGGTAGAGTTTGGTCTCTGAGGGGACTAGAGAGGAGACGTGAGGGTTATATCTAAGATGGTGACAGGGAAGAACACAAATGCCAAGATCCATGAAAGACGTCTCAGAAGAAGAGATATAGATGTGTATAATGACAAAATATTTTTTTTTTAAAAAAATAAAGATCCATATAAGACTTCACATTGGATGAGGTCATTTAAAAAAATCTTTCTAGATACCACTATGATAAAATTTAGGGATATGAACCTGGAGAATGAAAAGGCTAACTACCAATTCACCCCAAAAAACCAAACCAAAACAACAAAAACCTCTCCAAAATTAATCAACTAATCAACAGACAGAAAACCAAACAATGGGCTAGAGTGGTGGTTCAGTGGTTAAGAGTACTGACTGCTCCTCCAGAGGCCCCACTTCTGCTCCCGGCACCCACACTGCACCTCACAACCACCTTCCCTAATTCCAGTTCCAGGGGATCCAACACCTTCTTCTGAACCCCTGAGGGCACTGGGTTTACATGTGGTACACACACACATATGCACACACACACGCACACACATATGTGCACACACACACACACACACACACACACTTACATACGCACAGGCAAACACCCATACACACACACACACAAAAAAAAATAAACCTTAACAAACTCCAACTTAACAAAACTCTAGGCTGGCTCTGATCATGCTTGTCTGTAGTCCGGCACTTGGGAGACTGAGGCAGGAGGTTTAAGAGTTCAAGGTCAGTGGGAGCTACACATTGAGACCTTGCCTCAAAAAACAAAACAACGAACAAATAACAACAAAGCCCCAAGCAAACAAAACCAAAACCAGCCAGACAAAGATCAACAGGAAGCAAACCTGTAAGGAGGGTAAAGGGAGCCTCGAGTCTAGGATCACAATGGTTTAGCCAAACTAAAACAAGGCATTTGCGAAGTGACCAGGAATAAGCGACAGAGAGACAGTGAGAGAATATCATAAAGAAGGCAAAACCTTTTAAACCCCTTTATGATTTGGAGAATATATACTGAATACATAATGTCGAGAAACGGAAAATGTGTACAGCACAGCGCTGTAAAGAATTGAAAGCTAAGATCATGCGTTGTGCCCCAGACAGAAGGTTCACGTCTGCAGTCTGGACAGGCCAGTCTCACCAGACTTGAGGAGCCAAAACATTTCAGAAAATAGGAAGGGGACTCTGCCCGCCGCATTTTATGGTGTTGGCTGATACTTGGTTTAGGATAAGGCAGCAATAGAAAATTTTATAGTTTGCCTAATATGAATTTCCCAATTAAATGTTAACTCCCTGAATCCAGGAACATATTTTAAAGTATAGAATGGACAGGTAGATTAGCTCTAGAAGTAAATTCTTGAGCAATTAAGTGTCACTCAAAATCATGAACTCTGTTAAAGAGATGGCCATGCAGCTAGAGACTCTTCAATTTGATAAACTCTATAGAACACAAATTTGTTGTGAATATGTATATTAACAGGGAGGCCACTGGTGGTCTTAGTTTATGATCTGGAACAAGACACAGTACTAAGAAAGCACAGTTACTTTTTGTTGTTGTTGTTTTTGTTTTTCAAGGCACGTTTTTCTGTAGCTTTGGAGCCCGTCCTGGAACTAGCTCTTGTAGACCAGGCTGGCCTTGAACTCACAGAGATCCGCCTGCCTCTGCCTCCCAAGCGCTGGGATTAAAGATGTGCACCACCACCACCACCCAGCTTCAGGGTTACTTTTTAATATACTATACACTTTCTTTCAGACATAGGAAATCCAACAGAATCAAGAGAGAAACCCCTAGAATAAAATCTCAGCAAAGTTATTAGCCTAGAGAATCACTTGTAAAAAATTCAAGTGTTCTTTACAGCCAACTAGAATGAAAAATAGGAGAAACAGGTACTACTTTCAGGGCTAAAAAGTTATGATTTTTTTTTCCTTGGGAAAAGTCTAGCAAAGAGTGTGAAAGACATTTAATAACAAAATTCTAGCTTTTATTAAAGGTGATATGACTTAGGACTATGTTCGTTACAAAATGGGAAATGAAAGACTTCCCAAGAGAATCTGCTCATGAGGGCTATTTTAAGAAGGATAAATGACAGAGTGAGGGGCTGACAGGCTGGCTTAGAAAACAGTGAGGAGTTGATTCTATGTGTGTGTTTTGCCTGCATGTATGTATGTGCACCGTGTGTGCAGTGCCTGTGGAAGACAGAAGGTGGCGCTGGATCACCTGAGGATGGATGTCAGCTGCCACATGGGTTCTGGGAGCTGAACCCAGGTCCTCTGCAAGAGCAACAAGTGCTCTTAACCACTGAGCCATCTCTCCGGCACCTTAGCAAGCATTGTATGAGCTAAGAGAGGTCCGTTGACTCCTAGGACAATATTGAAGAAGTAGAAATGAGATTCTCCTGCCACCCTCTTTGATATGCTGCAGAGTGTGGAGGTATACTGGTGGCATGGTCATTAGTGCAGGGTTAGGCACAGGTGACATTCTCTGCTCTCCAGAGGTGAATGGTAAAGGTAAAAGTGATATTGGGGGGGGGGGTTGTTATTGTTATCAGTGGTGATGGTGGTGTATCTCTCTCTCCCTCTGTGTGTGGGGGTGAGACATAAATAAAATGTAATGAAATGATCTATAATAAAGGGCCAAGGTGATAGGTTGGTGGCAGATGTGAAGGTATTTCAACTTTAAAAACTAAAACCTGGGTGTTGTAGTAATCCCTGTAATCCCAGCTACTTGGAAGTTGATTCAAGAAGATCCAAAGTTTAAAGTCTGCCTGGGCTACAGAGTGAGTTCAAGACCAGCCTGGACAACATAGAGTGACCCTGTCTCAAAATCCAAAAAGAGGTCCGAGATATATTTCAGTGGTAGAGCAACTCCCTAGCATATATTCTCTATTACTCAGGACTGTGATGAAAAACCAGATTAAACAAACATGACAGCAACAAGAAAATTGACAGGGAGGTTTCTAGAACACAGCAGCAACTAACACGAACCAGGAGGAAAAAGACAGGACACTGGTTAGAAAAGTCAGGCCAGTGGCATGAACTCCTAGGAACCCAATATACACACAGAGAGATGCTCAACCTCACCAGTGACCAGAGAACGGAAGCTAAACAAGATGTCATGTCTCAGCCACCTGATTACCAGCCTTGGAAGGCAAGCTGCTGCCAAGTGGTGACAATGACAAGGAGAGCTAGGGCTCTCAGGACAGCTGGTCAACTCCTGCCAAAGCAGCCCAGCAAGGACAGATGTTCTTTCCAGAGAAGTTGCCTAGATGGCTAGGGCTGTCCCTGTACGCGGGAGCAGCTGCTTCACCATTTGGAATTATTCAGTCCCCTTACTGAGCGAATGACCCAGAGGAATTCATGGACAATTGCCAGCGGACGCTTAGCAAGGATGCCCACAACACATTGCGTGGGGTTATGGAGAGTTGCCTAACCAGCACACCCGTCTTCAGCAGGGAAATACAGAAGCACTAATACTGTTAGCCTGGAAGTTTGAGTCAGGCATTTCTCAGAGTTCTTTTATACATAAAATCCCATTTACTCCTGCAGTGTAAGCGTGCTTGCTGTCTCATGATCCGTGTTAGGAACCTGAGACACAACACGATCAGGTTGTTCAAGATCACACGGCCTAGTAAGTGGCAGAGCTGATGCAATGGGCTTGCTTAGAGTTGAACGCAGTCCCCTCTCCTCATCCTTAATATTGCTCTCTGAGAACGTCACTCATCCCAGGTTAGTCACAGTCTGAAAACATTAATATGGGAAATTCTAGAAGAAAACAGTCCATTCATCTCCATTTACACATTGTCCTGTAACGCGCTTCCTGGGAAGTGAGCCTTGCAGTTGTTCAGCCTTTTTATACGGAACACACAGGAGCCGCCTGTTCGACCACACTGGCGGTTACGGTATCGGAACCCTTGTGTTCAAGGGACTCTTACTCATTGGCCTGAGCAGTCCTTGCATGGCCACCCTCGTCTCAGCACTTTGTCTGCACTGAATTATCCATTCAGCATCATCCCAAGAGGGGAAGGCGAGCACGGCATAGTAAGATACTCTGAGAAGAGACTACATTCTTAGAATAGTCACTGTTTTGCCATAATTTCCCCAGTTTACTAGTCAGTTACTATGGCCACTCTCTTGCTATGCCCAACACCTAAATGAAGCATTGTGGAGCTGGAGGTATGGCTCAGTGGTTAGGGCCCCTCACTCATCTCTCAGATCAAGTGGCTAAAACTCCAGATCCAGGGGGTCTGATGGCCCCCTCTGACCTCCGTGGATGCCTGCAGCACGTCCACACATCCACACACAGACACATACACAGAATTAGAAATACCTAAAAAACAAGATATTAAATTATCATCTGTATATGTGTATATTAGTTAATTTAGTACTGGGACAAAAATGTCCAAGAAAAACCGCTGAAGTAGGGAAGGTTTCCTGTGAGGGTACAGTTCTTGGCAGCGAGAGCTGGGGCAGCAGGTGTGTGAGGCAGCTGGTCACATTGTACCTACAGTCAGGAAACTGACAAGGATGAGAGCCATGCTCAGCTCCTCTCTCCTTTCCCCTCAGTCTGGGATCTCCGCCTGTGGGATGGTGCTGCCCACACGGCCGGGGGGGGGGGGAGTTTCCTACCTCAGTTCCCCCTTGGTAGAAATAGCCTCACAGATGGAACTTTATCTTCTAGGTGAGTTCTACATCTCATTGACAACCAAGATTGACGATCACAGTATACACAGAAAGCAAGCCAACGTCTGTAGGATTCAGTTCCAACTGAGCTCTTAGTCAGTCATTGGGAATTTTAGGGTGTGAACCCTTTGCCTTGGAGAATGACTATGCTCTGTGCTGTCAGAAACTTAGAACCAGCTTTAGTAACAAGACCTTGAAATCGTCAAGACTGAACAAAAAGTGTGGGCTGTTGAGTTGGCTCAGCAGGCCAGAGTGCGAACTGCCAAGCTGATGACTTGAGCTGGGTCACCAGGATCCACGAGGTGGATGGAAAGAAGCCTCTCCTGTCTTCCGACCCCCATGTGCAGGCCTCAGCACATGTGCCCTCGCCAGGGACTGGAAAAACATTGTTAGGTGCCACACGCAACTTGGCATCACTTTCATGTCATAACTGGGTTAGAAATGTGTGTCGACCGCCATCCACTGACTGGATATACTTCCAAGGACACTTGGGTGAGTCCCTGCAGGTGGGAGCTAGGAGAAAGATTGAAGAAAAAGGGGGAGGGCTTTCGTGCAATGACTTATGTACCTATTACTGCCTAGACGGCAGGAGAAACTCACAGCGTGGGGAAGCTGCTGCCGTCAAAGCCCGTTTGAGATGTTGAGGGGCACAGCAAGGTAGCTTTTAGAGGAGAAAATTGATGGTAATGAGTTACAGGGAGACCCCACTACTGACCCTCTCCTTGCCGGGCATCAGTAAGGAAACACACATCTTTGTCAGTTCTGGTTCACTTTGTGCTCTGTCCCTGTACACGCAGAGAAAAGCAGGCCAGCATCCCCCTGATGTCTAAAAAAAGGTTTCTGGGCCATCGTCCTCACTGCTATTTCCTGGGCATACTAATTTTAACATAACCCTGAACAACATAAAATTAGGGAGCAAACGCTATTTAAACATACACGGCACAAAATGGCCCTGCTTCCAGATGCCCAACAGCTTCCTGACTGCCTTTTCCTCTCTTACTGAGGGTCACAGCTGATGTGCCAAGTTTTGGAAGGAGTGTCCCAGGACACACAGCTGCTCCCAGACATTGTACAGAGGCAGGGGCACAGGGAGTGTGTGCCAGGGATGGTGTCACAGGTGGGGGAACTCTGATGAATCGTTCCAGTGAAGACTCCCAGAGTGCACAATGGCTCATGGGTTGCTATTCTGGTAAGACAGGGCTGGTGGCAGGGTCTCCAGGACAAAGCACGCTCAATATAGACAAATGGCCCCCAAAAGGAAGACTCCCCACTCTCTACTGGTCAGACCCTACCGGTTAAGGGTTTGATCACTCACTGGTGATGCTTTGTATGAACATTTGATTAGAGCCCAACTCCCAGCAGGCCTTGGAACCTCACTCCAGGTGACCGGTCTCAGGGAGGACACTTGGTGGTGGTAACGTGGAGTCTTGTGATAGCTCTGGGTTCCAGGTTCTTAGAGACTTTCTCAAAGAAATGAGATTGTGCACAAACTGACAGAGCTTTTGTAAGAATGCAAACAGAATAAAGCAGACACCGCACAAACCAGCGTCAAGACAAACGGAATAAAGCAGATACCATGCAAACCAGTGTCAGGCTCTAGCAAGATGGCTGCAGCTCCCTACTTGTTTCCCAAGGTTATTTGGAGTTAAGGGATGGGGAAGGAGCTGATCCCCAGGTGTGGGAACTGGAGGGGCCCTTGGCTTGAGTGACAGATGGGTTATCATATAACTTGGGATGTTCTGCACACAAACCATAAACCCCATGATTTTAAACATATACATTTTAGATGCTCTCTGTGTACACAGGCTGTATGTTTGTTAATTCTAGGCAAATTGCCTATACTGCATATGCATGAGGAAGTCATCTCAGGGCAGACTTATCCTCACTGCACCCATGCTAAACACCTGTCTCAGCAGGCCTTCTTTGTCTAGAAGC